CAAAATAAAAGAAAAAAAAAAAAAGAATTAAACCCACCTTGTGACACCTCTATAAATAGAAGTTCTTTGTCCGAAAGTGTCCAAGGTCCTCCTAGGAGCTGCAGCAGCCTCCACAATGGCGGCGGTGTTGCTGTTGTCGGCGCTGGCGGTGATGCTGGCGCTCGTCTCGCTGGTCGAGCCCTTTCCGCTGCCCATCGACAGTGTCAGCTGCTGCATATTGCACCCGCCCTCGTAGCCCGTGGGCACCGCCAGCGTGTGCTGCACGGTCACCAGGCTCCCGGTCGAGAACAGATAGTCCGCGGGGCCTCCCGTCTGGATCTCGCTGTACGACACGAGGTCCGACTGGTGGTTGTTGTCCGACTTGCAAACCCCGAGAAAATCCGCCACTTTCGGGACCTCGCTCGACTGCTCCTGACCGCCGATCAAATTCCAATCCCCATATGCTAAAAAAACAAAAGCAAATTAATGAATTTGAAAGGATATATATATATATATATGTGTGTGTGTGTGTGTGTGTGTATAAATTTGGAGTTACCTTGATTTTGGAAAGGGGTATCAATGTTGTCACTGACTAACCCTAATGAGAAGTGGTGGGGCTGATGTGGCAGAGAAGGATGAGTGGGGGAAAGAGGGAAAGAAAGCCAGTTGTTGGAATTCATGTTTCTTTCTTTCTTTTTTTTTGCCCTAAATGAGAATGACTATGATGTTTTTCCTTCTTAATATGTTCTTACAGTCTCAACTTGAGTTTTATATCACCTGCAACATTCCGAAAAAACAACACAAAAGAGAATTAAAGCTATTACATATTGTTGCTAGGGCAACATAAAAGTATGAGATCTGAGATTATATATATACCATTTAAGGAAATAAAAGATATATAGAACCATATAAACTCTAACTTGTTCCTCTCTCAATCTCTCTCAATCTCTCTCACTCTATCTCTATAGAAGTATGAAGGGAAAATAATAGGGAAGCAAAAGATAGATAAAGAGAGAGAGAGAGAGAGAGAGAGAGAGGAGGAGTCTAAAAAAGAGTGATTGGGAGAGAAATAGTGATATTTAAATATGGGCATTGCATTTTCTTATTATTACACCGTGTACTTGTCCCGAACCGGCTTCTACAGTCGTCTGACGACTCCGACTCCGACTCTGACTCTGACCATCAAATTCCAACACACGACTAAATGTAATCTACTCTACTCTGTGTACTTCATTTTTAATAAAATTTTATCGATTAATAGCTAATAAAATACAGCTGACACGAATATAGTTTGGTTAATAGGTGAAAAAAATGTAACTAAAATCGTTTGAAATATATCTCTTATATTACATCAATTAACAAACGTGACAACAGATATCTTTTGCTATTATTTACTCAAAGCTAGGGCCAAAAATCAAGATTACAACATAAATTTTGGACAAAACCCTAACTAATTTGGAGATATAGTTGCAGATGGTGTGAGGTCTTTCAGTCATTGTACCCAATACTACCCCCACTTGGTTTATTGGGACTCTCTTATTTCCTCGTTATGAGTTAAAAATGGCACCCAAAATCCCAACACTTCCACGTTAGCTCACCGTCTTCTCTCTTCCGAATAAAAATTTATTTACCAGCTGTAACTTAGTAACTCATGAACCATAATTTCAATATGAAGTACAATATAAATTCGGAAGATGCTACGGTCCCGTTACTGAACCATTCCGTTGTGATTTGTAACCGTTAGATCAACTATCTCTGACAGTTAAATGATGATTTAACTGTTATAAACCATCGACGGAATGATTCCGTGACGAGATCTTAGCATTTTTCGGTGAATTCAAGCAAAACTTATGTTCAAACGAAAAAAAAAAAAATCGTCACCAATCATAAATGAATGAATTATACTAATAAATACAAGCATGATGAGTTCAATTGTTACTCAAATTTATCAATAAAATGTATACATTATATTGATAACAAATTTATCAAGTTAATTCAGACTGTGAGTCTGCATGTGTTGAAGCTAAATGTGTACGGACATGCCCATATTATAAATATATGGAAAATAAATAAGTGCATAAAAGGGGTTTTTAGCCAATTAAGAAAAGATTGGACGATTTTGTTTGGCTTTTCCAAGTTGAAGTCTGTTGACCAGTCTGAATTGGAAACCGCACTCGTCAAAGGTAAATAAACAAAAAACATGTAGTATATTTTTTTTTTTTTTACTTTTAAGTATTTGTTTTATGTGCTGTGCATGTCCTCTAAGTGGTACTACAAAAATAATAAAAAAATTTAATTAAATAAAGGTTAAAAAATAAAAAATAAAATAAAGACTAGGTAGAATTTGGCCTCTTTGTTTCTGTGCCTTCTGTCTTCCTCTGACTGGCTCAGTCAAAACAATTTTTTCAAAACACCCTGATTAATTACCACTAATTACCACTAATTTTTATATATTATTGATCAAATTAATATAGAGCACGATTGAATAAAAGATAACCATGAAAGAAAATGGTAAAAATTGATCATTTTGGTTCAAGTAATTGATATTTTTCAAAAAACAAAAAAAAAAAAAAAAAATGATTATATATCTTGATTAATTCGTCAAAAATGTCCATATATTAAGTTAGTGTACCAAAAAAAAAAAAATCATCAAAATTGGTACACTGACTAAATCGACAAGTTGACATTTTTTTAATTATTTTGGTAAATAATAGACTAAATTAAATGAACGTGAAATCATTATATTAATTTTGAATAGAATAGTCCAAGAGTACCTAAAATGAAAGAAAATTGATGTTGATAAAAAGTTGATGAGTTTTCATATTCAAACTGAAAGATTCACAACTAATATGTATTCTTCAATTTTCTTTGTAGCTTGTAATATATTTTTATGGGAGATTCTACATCCCGTTACGAAATCATTCCATAACCATTAGATCAATTATCCACGACGGTTATATGATGATCTAACGGTTACAAATCCCGACGAGAATGATTTTGTAACGAGACTGTAGCATTTTCTTATTTTTATATATATACAAATATGTTGCAAAGATGTAACTCGACATTAGGAAGCAAGAGGACCCATTCAAAACTTTCTAAACCCTAATTGCATATAACTTTATATTTACAAAAAAATAAATAAATAAATAAATAAATGTCCTATTAAGATATATTGAACCCAAACCCATTTAAAAACTTATATTATTATTGTATTATTATATATTTATAACACAGCAACAAAAGGAAAATAGGATGAACCCTAATATTTTATGCTTCAAGAATATATCTCAAGAAACAAGAAAAGAATCACATGCAGGGACAAAAAAAAACCCTAGCCAAAATCTAAAAAATAAAAGAAAAATAAAAATAAAAATTGAAATGATGTATAAGACTTACTCAATAGGAAGCTGTTTTTTTTTTTCTTCAACCTTCTCTGCTTTGAATTTTTTCTTCAATTTTCACTTTCTTGTGTTAAATTTATAATTTCATAATGTTTTTTTTTTTTTATCTTTTTAAAGTAAAGAAGGCATATTTAATTTGTAATTTATTTAACTATATATATATATGTATATAAAAGTGTATAAATCATCTTGAGAAGTGTGAAGCTGAACATCGTAAGTTGGTGAGAGATGATCAAGTTCAAGTGGGGGGCTGTGGTGGGATTCGAAATTACCAGCTATTTTATTTAGAGTAAATAAAAAACAATTAATAATTAGTTAATTAATTATGGTCATTTAATTTTCACTGTTTTTGGTTTTTTTTTTTTTAATTTTTTTATTTTACCTTTTTTGACGGACCGCCACGGCTATTGAGGTAAATGGGGGGCCAGGTTAGGAGGATTATGACTGCCACCACCGCCACTCTGTTTTTAATTTATGCAGTAACTTCATTGTTTTTCAATTTGGACCGACCTGGGTCGACGTCGACTCGAGACCCGGCCGATCTGCAATCGGAATCGGTCTGGTAGGCTATTTAGACCAGGTAACAATGATTCCGGTCAAACCTGGCTGAGTCGGGCCATTGACCTGGCCGGGTCAATCCGGTTGACCCGGCCGGGTCAATTCGGTTGACCCGGTCCTTATACATTTTTTATTTTTTAAATATTTTTTCATATCAAAAATAAAAATTATATAAATATATTGAAATAATAAATATTTATTTTGAGATAAAATTATTTTAACACTTTGATGTACAAATATTATATGCAAAACATTTATTTTTGTTAATGTTATGTATATTTATATGTCAAAAATAGTATATATATAATTTAAAAAATTTTAAAATTAATTATTCGGTTCAATAATTGACTCAATGACCCGACAGTTGAAACGGTGATCCGGTGACCCAGAGACCTGCCCAGGTCGATTTCCTGGCGGGTTTAAAAACTTTGAGTAAATTAATGGATAAATTGCACCAAATCCCTCTGTATTATACTAAATTTGCGCTTTATCCCCCTGTAATTTAAAAATTGCGTCAAACCCACTTGTAATGTACTTTTGCATGCACGAAATACCCTAAACCATCAAAGATGACGGAAGTAGAGTGCACGCGCGTGCTATGTGACTCTTTCTTCATTTTTTGGCCACATATATTCTTTTTACTATGCCCACATGCAATTAATTAATTGGAACCCACTTTAATATAATGATTATTATATATGATATATTATATATTATATATATATATAATATTATAATGATTATTACAACACATATATTATATAACATATAACGATTATTATATATTATTATAATATATATTATATTATATATAATATATATCATATTATAATGATTATTATAAAATATATATTATAATATATATTATTATAATATATATATATATATTATTATATATAAAATTATATGTTATATATTATATAATATATATTATATATTATTATATACAATAATATATATTATATTATTATAATCTATATATTATTATAAAGAGCCCAAACCTGCTCAAACTTCAGAATCTTGCACACCACATTTGAACAGTACGACAGATTTCCAATGTTGGTGATCTAATTGATTTTTACTACTGGTGGAGTGTTTGATTAATTATAATAGTGTTACCATTTGTGTAAATATATAAAATAAAATAGGAAAATAGTAAAACAATAAATATAAAATTTATTTATTTTATTATACATATCGAAGGAAAAATTTCATTAGTAGTCCATTAATACAATTTTGCTACAGAGTTATTGGATGACTCGACTTATGAAGTCATCCACATTTATTCACCGATAGTGTATTGACACGTGTCTTAAAATAAATACAATTTAAACAAGTGTCAATATATTAAGTGATAGATGACTCCAAAAACCATATGATAATTCCATATAATTTTTGTATATTAATAACCCAAACTTGTCGCTACAATTATTGTTAATACATAATATATATAATATAATATATATTATATTATAATGATTATTTTAAAATATATATTATTATAATATTATATAATATATGATATATTAATAATATATTATATAATATAAAATAATATATAATATATATTAATATATTATACATATAATATATATTATATATATTAACCGTTATTTATATATATATACATTATATATAAATTATATATAAATACG